CCACAGGCTCTGATACTCGCCCAGGGCTGAGTGTGGGAGGCTCCCAGAGCAGGGGACAGACCTGACCGCTCATCAGAGGCAGAGGGGGGAGGCCCTGAGCTGAGACCAGAGGGTCAGGTGGGAATGAGCCAAGCCCAGCACAGGAGCCCTCAGCCTGGGAGGGGGCCATGGTACATCAGGAAAATAGTGTTTGTGAAAGTGAAAGACAGGATGGATTTCTGAAGGTAACTTAGTCATAGGGCGTCAGAACAGACAGACCCAGAAAATGAGAGACTCAGGGCTCATCCCAGGTGAAGATACACCAGGAGCGGGCTCTAAGGAAAAAACAATATTTTGCCTGAACATGAAACTTTTGTGAAAAACTAAATTAAAAAAGGCAAACTCACCCTTCTGCATGTGGATCACCTGGCCCAGACAGAGCACTGCAAGGGAAGCCCCAGTGAGACAAGTACCCTCCTGCTCTCGCGGTGACCTTAAATGGAGTCAAGGACTGCATTTCCCACCACCTTCAACCCCCCTGGTCAGCATGGCTCCCATGGGGTAGCTCCCTCCCCTATAGCGGGTTCCAGACAGGTTCCCAGGAGGCCTCTCCACCAAAGCAACCCTCCCCCCCGGCCGTGTTTGTGTCTGACCTGTCCCCCTCCCCGGGTCAGGAACCAGTGTCTGGAACAGCCTGGGACCCTCCCCTGGAGCTGGGCCCGGGTGACACAAAGGAAGCAGGGCCTGCAGGTTGAGTGGGCTCCCAGGTACTGGGTGGAGGTGGTGCCTGGGTGCCCCCCACAGTCCAGCCCCTCTGCCCTGTGGCCCTCCCCACTGCATTCTCACTCACCGAGGCCCAGGAGGGTGGTGAGATGGGGGTACATGAGCGCCAGCCTCTCAACCGTTTCTCTGCCCTTGTCCCGGGTGAGGCAGGCAGGGCTCGGCCAGTCAGGAAGTGTGCTGGGGCCAAGTCAGGGGCTCATTTCCGTGGTCTGTCAGGAAGGGAGTGTGGCGGTTCCCAGACCCACATTCTCCTATTTGGAGAACCTGAGAGGCCGTGGCTTCCGGGAGGCATTGCTTGTGAGATGTTTCCTCACCAGGCTGAGGCCGTGTCCAGATGAAAAGCCACACAGAAGTAATTCATCAGAGACAGACACAGATGCCTGAAGGATGGATGGATGCCACGTAGATACTCAGACACATAGATATATAGCAACACAGTAGATATGTAGATGCATAGATGGATATGGATATAGTCACATAGACACTTAGAGACATAGATACGTAGGCAGATACTAACATACATACATATATAGACACTTAGACACATAGAGTTGAATTGATACTTAGTTACATAGATAGATGGATACATAGATATACAGATAGATAGATAAATAGATAACTATATAGGTACATAGTTACATAGATAGATATATAGATACAATGATACAGATAGTGAGATGCATAGAAACGTGGATAGACAATACAGGCTTGTCAACTGGTCATCACAGGCTGATTGTCCCCAAACACACATTTTTTTTTAAGGCAAATGCTTCAGTTTCTCACCTGCAAACAGGAAACTATAAAACTCTTCTGACACCTCCATGTTATTACTGGGAGAACAAAGAGCTGAGGGGGACACTACAGAACTAAACCTGCCCCTTCATTGCTCTCCAGGGTAGGTGGAACCCAGCTCAGGCTCAAAGCCCATGTCTCTGGGCCCCTCTGTGCCCTGTTGTGCCATGCAAGCATGGCCAAGGGTGAACCTGAGCAGGGGTGGTGAAGTATTGAAGAAAAGACAGACAAGAGCATACAGCTGGGGCTCAGTTGATCTCTTATGCCTGGATGAGGACACAAAAGACCCAGCCTGCAAGTTGGTGCTTTATTGTATATTCTGATAAAAACAAAGGTAGATGAACATGTATACAAATGTTCTTGTTTTGGCAACACTTGCTGCACCTCCCACAGACCATTAGCTACTTAGGAAGGAATTAGGGAGGGCTACAAGGTCAGGCTTAATTATGCTAGGAGAGCTCTGCCCCCCAGGCTGGGACTTGTTTGTGGCCCTGCCACAGGTCAGCCCGAGGCTTGACCCTAGAGCCGCTCCCTACACATATACATGTGTGTCGTACAGCTTTAAAAAATCAGTGCCGTGAAAAAAATTCTTGCCCAACAGGTTAAAGAATATTAACAAGTATTGATGACAAGTTGTGCACTGCTTACATACAGGGAGTCTGGTATAGTACACAAGATTTCCGCAGGATTTTAAAAATGATGGAAAAGCTGGGATATCAAGTAGAAAACCATCATTCAGGCTTCTGCTGACAGTGACGATACTCTGGCTCCTCTCAAAGATGCCGATGCCATTGATGCGAAGATGTTGTCAATGTGAGGCAGGTTCTGTCGGATTTCCATCTGGAGGGTCTGATTTTTCTTTATACTCCTAAGATTTGGAAGGTCTTAACATCCCATGTTTTACACCAAGCTGCTACCTAAATTCACTCCTCCCCTTAATTTTTGCTTTCTGCAGGTGCTTCACTGGAGCGTTCTTTCACCTTGCAGTTGTAGTTCCCCCATATCAGGCCCCAAGTTGGGCGCCACTTGTGCTGCACCAGTACGGACAAGGGAGAACCTGAGGAGGGCCGGTGAAGGATTGAAGAAAAGAATAACAAGAGAATACAGCTGGGGCTCTGTGGATATCCCGTGTCTGGATGAGGATACAAAAGACCCAGCATGCAAGCTGATGCTTTATTTTATAATCTGCTTAAAACAAGCGTAGATTAACACGTATACAAATGTTCTTGTTTTGGCAACACTAGCTGCACCTTCCACAGCCCATTAATTACTCAGGAAAGAATTAAGGAGGGCTACAAGGTCAGACTTAATTATGCTCGGAGAGCTCTTACCTCCTGTCTGGGACTTGTCTGTGGCCCTGCCACTGGGAAGTCCGAGGCTTAACCATAAAGCCGCTCCCTACACTAAGCATCATAACCCACGTGGATTCTCTTGTCCTTGAACAACAGCAGGAGTGGCTGCGAATCTCTTGGGCTCCAGCATGAGCCTCTGGCTCCTTGGGGAGGTCCCTGCTGTGGCCCTTGGGCCCCCTATCTCTGGTGGCTCCTTTGTCTTTATTCCTGTGGTCCCTGTGGGGACCTGCACTGGCTGAGCCCAGCTTCCACCAGAATCGCCACCAGGATCAGCAAGCAACCTAAAATAAGACTCGAGAGCATTGAGAGTAAAGTGCATAAAGCATGAGCTTATTGCTGCACATTGACGTCCCTCAATAAATGCTGGTCCGGGGGCTTCTCACAGGTGTTACCCTGCCCCAACGATGGGCCTTGTATCCAGTGGGTACTGAGCAAATGCCCTTGGGATGGGCTCACCCCTGGCCCCTGGGCCTTTCCAACCAGCCTCTGGAGGTCACAGCTGTGCCTCTCAGCCCTGCCCCCTGGACCCAAGCCCTCTCTCTGCAGGTCTGAACCTCACGGAGAAAATCAAGAAGATCAAGATCATCTTCACTCCTACCATCTGCAAGCAGACCTGTGCCTTTGGGGACTG